AGCAAATGGTGCTCTGTTCCTTATGTTGTTTGTCTCTGCATCTATAGAGCTTTAGCAAATGTACACATTGATTCAGGCATGCACTAACTCTGAGTGATACTACAAATGCACACATGGTTGTTAATTTTTTTCCTCGAATACACACGAGTGTGCATACAATATTAAAGGAGGGGATGGGGGTAAAGAGATACAATCCCAACTGCCCACATTATCTAAGCTCTAAATCTCGCGTCTGCCCACGTTGCCAAAGCCCCAAGGAAGGCTTCGACCTCTCCCTTCAGGATGCCCGCTCTCTTGGGGACTTTGTGTAAATTGGTAACTATCTTAGTCAGTTATAGAAGTAGTATTAGCGGTGTGAAATTACATCTTTTGTGGAGACGCTAGCACTGAGAAATTGTTGGCATATTTGGTTAAGGATAAGGTCTGGAAATGGAGGTTTGTTTTTATAAGTAAGCTTTATTTCATTCTTCTCCTGCCATTCTCAGCAATAGATAAATTATAAAATGTATGTATGGGTAGCCATGTTATGATTGATGCTAGAACACACATAATTATATACTAAGTACTTATCTTCAGAATTTTCTACATTGTCTAATGTGGGCATCTGTACTTGTTGCTGTTGTTGTGCGTGAAAGATAAAAGGGAGCAGGGCATATGAGTTTGTACTGATAATGACACATCTAAAATATTTTATTTGGTTTAGTTATCTGGCCATACATTTTTTTTGTAACAACGCGCTGTCAGTGGCGGCAGCAGTTCAGTGCGGCGAGACGGCCGGTGTGTGCGCTGGGGCACTGGCGAGACTCCCTGACAGGCATATTCTGGTGACTACTTGTGTTCTCGTGAAATCCATCCTCTGATTACATTGTTTCGGCATGTTTAGCTGGAAGGAACCACTACCATGTCCACCCAAAAAAAGGAAGCCAACATTAGGGAGTTCTATGGTAACTAAACAAACATCCTGCAGAATGTAGAAAAACAGGACAAAAAAGCATTTGTGGTTTGGATATGTGATACTGAAAAATTCCCACTGTTTATCTACTATAACTGTGATATTTCCTTCCCTCGTGTAACTGGAACAGGGGACCAGCAACTCCGACGACAGGAGGTAGAAGGTTATTTGCTCGAAGAAGTACAAGAAGAGAGCAAGAGGCCGGCCTCCAAGATCAATGCTGAAATAGATGAAGAATGCTTGCCCAACTGCAGCCATGACATGTGCATCAAGTGCTACAGTCAATGGCCAGTAAGAATACAACGCATGATCCCAGTTATTATTTTTCCTGCCATGTTCATTCAACTAGAGCAAACATGTTTGGTGTTTGGTTTAATGCGAGCTTCGGAGATATCACTCAATAGTTCATTCTGGTGTTATTAAGTGCTTCAGCAGACACAAATGTAGCATATTTTTACTGATAGCAATGCACTATGAGTAATTAAGCTGGTGTGACCATCATTTATTGAAAATATGCTGCAACCTATGCATCTGCTTACCAGTATTGTCCTTGGCAACTTCAACCAAACTTTTATTTTAGTTGATTCCACTTTCTATGGTTTTAGAAATTCATTGTTTTTGTATGCTTAATTGAGCAGAGCTCGTTCATAGTGATCTTCTGCCAATGACACAAATGTAGGAATGAGATACACATGCAATGTAAGAAACAGAGAAAGGAAGCTGAAAGTTGAAAGCATTATATGTTTTTGTGACTATACACATTAGTATTGCCTTAAAAATTGAATAAGGAATATTTTTATTTGGTATGTACCACAAAATGTGTTCATCCAGTAGGTGATGGTTTGGTCATTCTTCTCCAAGGTGCGGATATATTTGGACTTTTTGCAACTATGCTTGTGCCTGGTTTTACTGATTACGAGACATCTCCAGATGATTGGTTATCTGGCCATATTTTCCAACTGTATAAGCTTTGTGAAATCTTGAGATCTTCCTCGTTTTAGCTAATTCAGTGCTCTGTATAACAGTGATTTTGCAGAGATATTGGATGTTAACTTATTCATATCCTCATCCTAAAGATCATATGACAAGTACTTGATATAATTTTGCTTTCAAAAATGAAAACACCTAGGTGATTATCCTGGCTATCATATCTGTACAAGCAAGATTATCATAATAACTAAGCAATTTTTTCTTCATGTTATTATACAATGCCTAATTTGATTCAACAAGGGTAATGATACTGCAAGGCTTGAAAATTTTAGACTATGATCACTTTGTATGCCAAGCTGTAAACTTGAGGTGCCTTAAAGCACCTACAGCTGGAGTGGCAAATCCGGGTGACTCAAACGCCCTGCGGATGTGTCTGCGAGCACTGTCCGTCCAGTCCTCAAAAATCGCCGTCCACATCCGCATTTCTCATATCCAATCCACATATGTGTATCTCATATCCACTGACCTGTCATATCTCAGGTCTTATATATGCAACCAGTAAATTATTTGGGATGCATGCCTGTATGGGTGGCAGCCACCGTCCCTGTTATTGCCTCCAGGGTTGGTCCGCCCCTCTTCCCATATGTCGACGCCGGTCAGTGTGCTCCTGGTTTCTACAGAAGTAGAGGCGACCAGGAGGGCACGTATGGGTGTGTACATGGAAAGGACCACTATGATCATGCTCGATTTGCTCCGAGCAGGAGGACTATGCATCAATTCCATCGCCTTCTGTGAGATCTCCCTCTTCAAGGATGCGCAACATCCAAACATATGGTTAGTACCACCACCCTCTTGTCTTCATCTCCCTCCATGCATGGTGCTCGCCGTCAGTGTTAGGGTTTAGGGTGCCTTTTGGTCCCTCTTGTATGGGTGGATAGGCTGATGTGTTTTGTTCTTTCTTTCTTTGTTGCCAGATAGGTTGCAGGACGAGGTGCACACCTGCACCATGAGAAGTGCATATGCCGACTCATCCCAGAGACCCGAACTTCAAGAACTTTCTCGTCGAGCACCTCATTCGGAGAGGCTTTGAGAAGTTAGGTTTTCCTTGAGGAGGATCTTCTAACCAGAATAAATATTCTAGCCCAAAGCTCCATCTCATATGGGGACCAACAATGTACCATTTTGATGATCTCCATTCCCTGTGAGCAACTTGACAGAGGTATACACACTGTTTAGAAAGTTAGGAGCTCCATTCATTTTGATTGGTCGGTAAATTATAATATTGGTGGCTATTGTTCATAAAGTGTTTCCGCCACGTAGTCGAGTCCAAGTCCTCCGTTTGGAGCTGAAGCAAGTTGTCTCCTTCGGTCAGGTCGCCCCCTATTTTTCATGGTGGATGAGATTGGAGGGTGGGGGACAATACCTACTCTGGAGTCACTAGGTCTAAGTGTGGCAAAGTTAGGTCCAGGTAATTGTATTTTACTAATAATCAGTGTTACATTTTATGCTAGTAGATATGTTACGTTGGTAGATATGTTTTTGCAATTATATGTTATAGTTGGTATTGTTTGCTTATGTGCGTAGTTAGAGAAGGAAATATGTTTCATGGAGGAGAGAGTGCAGCTTTGGGAAGAGGTCTTGAATACTTCTGAAAGAATGATCAGTTCAAGGTCTACAAAAACATTAGAAATGACATGCTTGGTCCAGACTACACCAGTTCGTTGGGATTACTTGTATCATTTTGCAATTTTTCCTTTCATGTATATTACTGAAATAATGCACACATGTTTTTTTTTCTTCTGAAAAAGAGTCATGTCCAGCAAAAGAGCATAATCCTCATGTAAATATTGAGGTTCATATTTCTAAATTTATTTTCTCAATACAAACTTAGAGCCTGGAATACAAACAAAAAGCATGTTTATACTAAGATGTAGTGCATTCCCAGCCTGAAGTGATGTTTTCCTGTTTGATTGATTTTATTTCTAGCCAAATTACAAATGGACTAGATCTCTCTCAAAGCTGCAATCACGAGTTCTTGCCAATGGTTAGATTGACTTTTATTTCTTTTTGTAGGCTATGAGGTCTGATTGTGCTTGCAGATTGGAATTGTTGAAAACCTTAGCCTTCCTGATCTAGCTAACAAAGATGTATGTTTCAGACAATTAAAATTCAAGCGTTAGCATACTTATACCCCAGGTGCAACACACAGGCTGATTAGTTCAGATTTATTTGTTTTAAGGGTTTTGGTCGGGATGGTGTATGTGGCACTTAAAAATGCTCTAGAAAAATAATATTTTGTCTTCACGTCTTGCTTGTGCACTGCATAATTATACTGTCCACAAATAACATACAACAGTAATACATTTCTATCTACCAATGCATACTTGCACTGTAAGTCTATAAAAATTAGGTGTTGAGCTCCAAGGCTATTTGTTTAAAGTGACATTTATTCAGCGTGTTCCAACCTTTACATGCCTTAATTATAGAATAATCTAATATTATGATTTCTCCAGTAAGCAGTATACTAGGACTTTGAATTTGTGCTTTAGGAAAATTTGAACAGACCTCGTCCACGCCGATAATTTCCTGTTACATCAGGTTGAACAATTTTGTTTATGTTGTGAGTGTGGTAAATATTCTTTACCACTGGCCACATATCTCACTTGTGTTGGTCCCCTAGAATATGTTAATGTTTAGTTTCCAATTTTTCATCTATCAAATATCAATGGACTTTACATGGTTTCTTGCAAAAAAAAAGACTCACATGGCTCGAGTTTGTTTGCTCAGGAGGTTTCTCTCATAGATTATAATAGTCAGTGGCTTAAAAGTATTGTCGGTGCTACAAACATAAAACTGATGAAAGAAGAACATATTTGTACCTTATTGCCGGCTGACTATACACACAAGAACCTCAAAACTCTCATTAATGTGTTATATATTTAGTTGCAATAGTATTTGATTTTTCATGAAGCAGTATGCTTACTGTTTCTTCATTCAATTTCATGTGGCAATGACACGTGGAGGATGACGGTCACGAGCGCATTGTTGCAAGCTCACCGGAGGGAGGCACACATCTCATCCAATGGAAAAGCACGCTCCAAAAAATCCCTAACCCTCCATGGAGCCATTGCTAGGGGGCGACGAGATCAACGCCACCCACCACGACCACCGAGTTGTACAAGGTATGTCCTGGTGCTTCCCCAGAATCTTTCCCGCCTCTTGAGAGACCACATGGCGTTCTGGTGGCAGTTTTTGGCCAAGGCTGGAAGCCAAGAACACTTCTTAATTTTGATCATGGACTTGACATTGTGGTCGGGGGTGCATGGTGCAGTGTGGAGATTTCTTGCCTGGCGTATAACAATGCATGTTCAATGGGGTAGCCTCTTCTCACGCACAAGTCTCAAGAGAGGCAGACATCGACAACTATTCAAAATAACCACAACAAAATTCTGACACAGGTGGTTAGTGGGAGAAGGAACCTGAGACCGCAACCGATTCTGCTGCAAGGGCGGTGTGTAGAAGATAGTTGTAGCAAGCATATAAGTCACTCTGGAAAAAGTGTGTAGTTATTGTTGTACTACAGATCCATTCCGATATTTTCATTGATATGCATGGTTGAATAGTACTATGTGTCATATGTGAGAGTAATGTAATACAAAATGAAACATGGTGGACAGGGCTTCGTGACTGAGCTGGCGAAGAAGATGTCAGTGGTGGAAGCGGACATGTTATAGAAGATGTTGAGGGTGGCACCGGAGGTAATGGACAAATGGGGTTCCTCGGCACCGAAGAGAAGGATGCTGCAGCGACACCGACACGTACTGGGTTCCATTTCCAACCAGAGAGAACTTATGAACGGTATGTGCGCGATCCATTCATTCTCTCGTTTGATCCTTCCTTATTCCTCTCAACTCAGATTAATTTTATTTTGTAATTATGCATGATTTTGATGGATCAATAAATTTAGTGGCATTAATTGCAATGAGAAATATCGCATATCCATAAACTTCACTTTGTTGTTTTTCAGCTGAACATGATAGTTTGTGTCTTTTTGTTATGGACTTCAATATGGTCGATGGTAGCTTGCTGAATAAAGCAAGACCGAACACATAATTTCATGCCGAGAGTTTGACCTGTTTAATTTTGTACGGAAAATATTTGCTGCTAATAATGAGAAAGTTTTGATTTGTAAATGCAATATTCTTCCATGTATACAGAATTACAGATTGAACAAAATATAAGCCAAAGTTGAATCTCAAGCCTTAATTAATACTAAAAAATAATATAGGTTTGGTATATGTGTAGAATATGATATTTTTCCTTAAGAATCTACTAGATGAGGTGGTCGTTGTCGACATCCTTGTGAAAGTTCGCATGATCTTAGCACGAACCAACTCACAATGTTATCTCGAGCAATGCTTTACTCACTTAAGTATCTTTTTTAGGAAAACACTAGGTTAAAAGCCTACTGTAAAAAAATTATATGCAAAGTTATTATAATTGCCATTTATGATCACGAATGATCTTACTGAATGACTGTTCCCATGGCCTTGTCCAAGCTTTGAATAGTAGATGGGGGAATGTTAAAATATTTTGTGATGACATGGTTCTAAATGGTTAGGTATGTGTCGCAGCCTGTATTTTTTCATGGGATGATTGGTCTTAAGCATAAAAAGCCATCCATGTGCCACCTATCATTTGTAATGCACAATATCGAGTTCTATGTTTTTGTACCACTTTCTTTATTTTCTACATTAGATCTGACAGTATATGTTAGTGAATTACATTTTTATCGAAATAGATTACAAGTGAAGAGGATTTCAATTGTTTTTTGTATGTTATTGGCTAACTTTTTTATATGTGCGAAATTTGATATGCAATCAGTAACAACCAACCCACAATGAATAGAAAGACATACTAATGCTATTAATAACCCAATATCAACAAAAGAATGTTCTTAATTTTTTTAGGCCCGTGGCAACACACAGGCACTCTACTAGTATGCATAAACAACAACCATGAAAACTCCAAATCAAGAGAACGTAACGAGAGGAGGAACACAAATATATTAGAATATAGCGGTATGCAACCATGCAATAGGAAAACCGAGGATAGGCGGATAGACTCGTCCATCTTGGAGTGCATGCAGATGTTTGGATTGGAGATGATCATCGTCGTCCAACGCCAAGAGTCTAGAGAAAGAGCTCCTAGAGAAAATATGGAGGCAGACCACCGGGAAGCAGGAAGGGAGGAGGACATGCACACGGTACGCACGTGTTCTGTTCCCCGCCGTCCATCACATCGTACCAGAGCTCCGGATCTAGCTAACTACTACTCCCGTCGTCTCATAATATAAGAGTATTTTTTGACATATATTAGGAGACGGAGGGAGTAGAATGCAGACCGTGGTCGATTTGGTTGTTGGCACGATCCCAATATCATCCATTCAACCGCTCTGCCTACCGGGGCCTCTCGGGTCGGACGCAGAAGAAACTATGCATGCATGTCTGCATGCTGCCGCTGAAACCTGTCTCACGACTCACACCCAGTGCAGCAACTCGGTCAGGCGGTCCTCCCAGCAACCGTGCAAAAGCGGATACTGACTGCGAGGCTAAAAACCGCCCAGCAAGTTGCTTGCCGGTGCGAGTCCATCGATCGATCGACGCCGCTTTGCGGAGAGAGCGAAACACCCTGGCTGTTTTTTAGGGAACCAAGCCTCTGTTTGGATTGCCGTTTTTTTTTTCAAATACACATGTAAAAAATACAAACCTCGGGCAGTTGTTTTCTTTCCAGCCGGAAATTGTTCAGCGGCTAGTAAAATATTTCCTCCACTTCAAAATAGATGACTCAAATTTATATTAACTCCGCGCGGCCCAAAGGTGTATCTTGCCTTGGCCGCTGCTCACTAGAAATGGGTGCCTGCATCCATAAATCATCTCAGCTACAGAAACTTTCAGACGTCAACGCTTCCTAGCCACTGCATATGAATGTCGTACTACGTACGTTCACCGGAGCGACGGCCACCGCATATATGCTTCTCTTGTTCCTTGGGCACATGCAACGTGTCCGCATCTGCGATCCTGTCTTCTTCCATGGTTCCTTCTCGCCCCCTGCGTGCCCTTGCTGCTCCTGGACTCCTGGTGGTAGCGACTAGCGAGCGACTGGTTACAAATCTTGCTTGGGCAGAAAGTTAATGAGTAATCCCCAAGCGAGACGCACGACACGGGTCTGTTTGGTTCATGACTAACTTTGCCCTGACAAAGTGTGGCTGCCACAAAAAGTGCGACTAACAAAATGACCATCACAAGTGTGGCAAGATTTGACAAAAACTTAAACCTATGACTTGTGGGCCATATAACTAGAAAAGTGTGGCAAGTCACAAGTGTGGTAATAAACCAAACACATGCTTAAGGTGTTGTGGCATGACTAAGATTAGGCATGGCAACCTTAAGCTAAAAACCAAACAGCCCTGCAGTTTCACTTGCTGCCAAGTTACTGCCGGCGATTTGATACTACTATCATGTCAGTGTCATGGTGTTACGTATGTATGCACCCGACACCAATAGCTAAACACCATTGAAGGAGCCCGGGCGATCAGGCGGTGATAGCATGTCCCGCGCTTTCCTTTCCCCATTCGTCCGTTCGAGCAGCTGGGCCCCGTGTGACATGGACGTACGCAACGGTCCCACCGGTCAGTCTTATCCGGAACCATGGCATCGTCCCTGGCGCGTTGATCCCGTTTCCTGATTTGGCAAATCTGCTGAGTCGATCGGGCTAAACAATGCATATAACAGGTCGATCAAGAATAAGAGTACTCGTAAGTCTTTGTCGCTCTGCGTACTTACTAAACATACCCAATTTACCAGGTGGGAGAATGAGAAACCGTGAACCCAAATCCACCGGCGGTATTGTAACATACTCCGTATTATATTACTGTTTCATCACTGGAAACATCTGTATTGGGTTAACTTTAACAGCGATGTTCCTCACAAGAAGGAAATATACTAGTAGTAAGGAACAAAACGTGTGATGGAAAAGGACATCAATTGGTTTGGCAGGCGCAAAGCTAGTTCCCACTAGCACATCACTGTCCAAACGGGTAAGAGCATACTAATTCACATTACTTAATTGAGTAGATTAACCTCCGTGAAGCTCAAATTCTGATTTCTATCTCTGCTGGCTGCCTTATCTGCCCACGGTAGAATCTAGACTTTCCACCGAAAGGGAACTGCCAAGCAATGAAGGCCATCACGTGGATAACTCCCTTTGTAAAAAAGAATCGGTAGAAATGTGTTTTTTTAAGGAAACAGTAGAAAGGCAATGCTCTTGTTCTCTAGCATGTATGGCTTTGGCACCATGGACCGGAGGTGGAACTGAATGCCACGGAAGAGCACGACGGTGATCTGAGCTGAAAGCTTAGGATGGATAGGAGCAGAGGGTTGGGTTGGTAGCCAATCCCCATTTATCAATTCCGGACCAGGAGAGGTACACCGCTCCCTTTTAATTGATAATTAGTTGATCGTCCTTAGTTGCAAGGCTGGGCTAGTCTTTATTACTAGATTATACTAGCTATAGATTGGTTCCCATTAACAATAAGTACTTGAATTGGGCCCCTTAGTTTAGCTCGGAGGTGGCGACAGCCCGCTAACGCCCAATTCCCCGCTTACTCCGCGACGTGCAAAGAAGTCATCGCATAACATTGTGCTCTGAAAATCAGAGATGATTTTTTTAACACAGTACAGACACAAGCGCTTACATATACGCGTATACACTCATCCCTATGAAAATAAGAGATGATTAGCAAGTACATCAATTCACAAACCCACAAAAAAATCACCTTGTTATTGTGTCATTTTGTGGAGGCATCTGATAACATGTCAAATGTTGGTCATCTTTTGCCAACCTTTCTTTTTTCATCTTTTGTGTTGCTTTGGGAAACTTTGGTAATACACTTATGCTGAAGTGCCTCATCATTTCGTGAGGTGGCAATGTTAATGGACTAAGACTTCCATTATCTAGTATGGATGTGACAATTCCTCTCTTTTTTCATGAGAGTTACGTGATAATGTTTAGTCAAAGAAGAAATGATAATTTTGCGTGTGGCCTTTTCTTTCCCCTCTCCCAAGGCGACTTGGGAAAGCCTTCTTCCCTTCAATCTTCGCCGATGAGCCCGTGGATTCGCCTCCCCTCCGCCTGCCGCTCTGACGGCCGATGGTGGGGAGGGTATTCCTGGTGCCTCGACTTAGATAGGTAGGGTTTTGGTTCTCGCAAGGGCGGCGCTCAAACGGATGGCAGCGCTTCTTCTTTGAGTCGGTCTTTCGAGCTCCGATTCTCCTCAAGTTCGTCCGCCGGGACGGATGAGACGGAGCTCCGATGTAGATTCCTGCCAGCTACTTGGAGCGGTGAGGTTAGGGTTTTTCATCGTGTGTATGCAACAGCGAGCAGGGGGTGTAAGGTTCTTCAGATCGATTCAAGGATTCAATGACGACGACTGCGGCTCCCGAACGCTGGTCCTTAGGGGCACATGCACGAAGACTTCCCGCTGTCATTGACAACGTCAGGCCGGCTCCGGTATGAGAGCGGCGACAGCGGCGCTTCGGCAACTCATTCTGGCAGGCAATGGTTGTCCGGTTGTCCATGGACCTCGATGTAAATTTTTATTGTGTTTGGGCTGCTTTGTAGTTCAAGTGAATCTTTATAATAGACCTGATATTTTCACCAGTAAAAAGAAGAAATGATATTTCTAAAAGAAAAGGGGAGATGGTTTTAAGGAAAAGGAAAAGGAAAAGGAGAAAAGGGTGTCAATGTCTAGTCCATCCAACTATGTATCCTATGACCCCGAAACAGTTGACACACAAAGTCATATATATGTTCATAGATACCATGAACAATGAAAAGAAGTGCAAATGGGGCATGTCACACATTATGCTCTCAAAATCGGAGATGTTGGGCAAATACATCAAGTCACTGTCTCCATTATGTACCAAGTTGAACTAGTGCACTCCAACTAAAAAAAAAGGTTGAACTAGTG